AGTTTGACTGTTATTGCCCTGGCAGATTTCATATTAAGCCGTTTTGGTTTTTTTTGGTGGATCGGTGGTTAGCATCGTCGCCTCGCAGCTAGAAGGTCGCCGGTGAGGACACCCAGGATCTTTCTGTGCGGAGTCTCCATGTTCTCCCCGTGCAGCGTGGCTTCTCTCCGGGTTCTCCGGCTTCCTCCCACAGTCCAGAAACATGCTGAGGTTAATTGGTGATTCTAAATTGTCCATAAATGTGAGTGTGCTTGGTTGTCTGTCTCTAAGTGTAGCCCTGTGATAGACTGGTTACCTGTCCAGGTGAACCTGCCTTCACCCTGAGTCAGCTGGGATAGACTCCAGCCCCCCATGACCCTAGTAAGGATTAAGCGGTATATAGATAATGGGTGGATGGCATTATCAGTGTCATTTTTTGCACCAACCCCCAATTAAATAAATTCATTTGAAAATGCACTAGTTTGGCTCCATCTATCTTTAGTCCTCAAGCAATGTCCCGCCCACAGCGCTGTCTGATTGGTTACCTGTCATGCGCGACAGCCTATCGAAACTGAAGGATAAATGTTGGAAAAAAGTTCCTTTCAGTCAAATACATGTAAAACACACATTATGGGTTTTTTTTTTCTTGAGTTTGTTTTATTTTGCGTCTGAGTCAATCTGAAATCTTGGGTTATAATTTGTGGTTAAAAAAAAGGGTTAAAATGTCGTTCCATCTGGACATTTCAAGGGGTTTACAGAACATAATAAAAATCAGTTACTGCCTGATAAAAATCACACAGCCATGAAGCAGAAGTGAATTAGTCGAGCTAATCTCCTGTGAAAGGAACACGATGTAACAGAGGGGCTGATCTGAAAAATAAATCAGGAGGATATCTGTGAAAAACAGGTTTTTCATTTTCATAGGAATGGTAGAGCACTGGAGTGTAAAAGGTGATTCAAGAGTTCATTTCATTCGCATCAGTGTTGCATATCATGAATGTCAACTTGGATTTTGTTCTGTTATTTTTTTGTTTCCTTCTGGACTCATTGCTGTAATTTCTCTGTGATTTAATATGTAATCGATCCCACTTTCCTCCATGTACACACTCTGATGTTTTCAAAGATAATCAGCAAGTTTTGAAGGTTATATTTATGATGTTTAAGATTTTACACTATCCATCGATCAGCAAACAACCGCTTTGTACAAAATGTCTCTTCAGATGACAGATGTTGGCGTTCAGGCGGTTTTCATTGTTTCATCACAGGCTTGTTAAAAAACAATCAACTTGCAGCTAATGTTTGCCGGTTCGCTGTTTCCATGGGGAACACTGCTCACCAAGTAGCACTGTGATAGTGAGAAACATGGAATCAGAGTGACAGTGTCAGAGGTCAGATTGCTATTTTGAGCAAAAAGGGGCTTTCTGAGGGTTCAGACGGTTTGTATTCAAAGCGCGATCACATGGACCAAAAGTGGCGAGACCATCTGAACTTCTATAAATTAGGCTTTGTGCTCTGAGACACGGAAAAAAATTTGCTTCACCACAGATGAACAGTTTGATAAATAAAGAATGCAAGATTAGAATCAGAAAGAGTCCTGCCAAAACAGGAAGTGCCCCAAGAGGGGGGAGCAGCATCTGTAAACCATACATCAGGTTGTGAAAGATATGTTTAGGATGTGTTGAGACATGCCAGCATCTCACAGCAGATTCTGCCTTGTAAAGATTTACGACGATAACAGATGAGTATTTTTAAAGAGACGAACAAGAGAGAGGACGCAACCCGAGGTGAGTTATCGGGGTGAAAAAATTCAGGTCTGGGGATGTTTTGCTTCTTTGGAGTTGGACATGTGCATGAAGTGGAGCTGCAGCCGTTGCAGAGAAGCGTTCGTTCTGCAGCAGGACAATGAGCCCAAACACACATCAGAGCCTCCACTTGAAGACTAAAGAATGACTGTGTTCAATGTTCGATGACTTTTCTACTCCATCGAACATTTATGGACTGAGAAAGCCGAGACATCCAGCCGTGGGTCTCAACCTCAAACACTCCAAACCTGCTAGTGGGTTTTGAAAGACATCTTCAAAAAAGAGCTTCAGACTGTAAAAACAGAAATGATCCTGAACATGTTGTTCTGTTGGATACGGTAACCACACCTAAGCTTGAAGTTGTGGGAGTTCCTCAAAACCACTTTATTCCTCGTGTCATTTAGAAATTCACAACAGGTTGCTCCAACCAGATTCTGTAACAAAAAACATTCTGCAGCATCGTGAAGCTGTTCGTGTCTTGCCTGCGACTAACAGTCAAGTGACAAAAATTATTTTGGGATGAACTGCAGGATGTTTATACACTGCACAGATGAAACACAGATGAGTTAAGTTTTGTATGATCTATGAAATGAAATGAATGAAATGAAAAATACTTTATTTATCCCAGAAGGTAAATTCAATATGGCACAAATGTTTTCTAATTTCCCTCCATCTCTAGTGATAGCTGTGCTGCCTCCATAGCGCGGTGGCCGACGGATGACGTGCACCAGCGAGCTGCGTGTACAGGAATGCGTTGCATAAAAAGAAAACGCTGCAAACACGGACACGCGCTGCAAAAGGAAAACAAATGCAAAAGGAAAACGCTGCATATCCAGTCACATGACGGAAGTGCCCCAGGCCTCTAGGGGCAGTAGTGAGCTGTTCACCTGAGAGGCAGACGACAGTGAGCGACACAGGTAACGGTAGTTGAGGGAAAAGCTGCGTGAAAAGGTTTGTATTCTCTGGTCTCCGTGGATAAACATAAATAACAGAGAACACAGGCAGACGGTAGTAAAACGCTTCAGCAGCCATAGAATCACAGTGACTGAAAAGATAAAGACTTAAAAACTCCCAAACAAAGGAAAACAAAATGTTTCTGACATAATCATGCCGACTTTTTTCCCACTTTGCCTTCAACTAGCGTCACTTGTCTCGCTCACTGTCGTCTGCCTCTCAGGTGAACAGCTCACTACTGCCCCCAGAGGCCTGGGGCACTTCCGTTGTGTGACTGGATATGCAGCGTTTTCCTTTTGCATTCGTTTCTGTTTATGCAACACATTCCTGTATATGCAGCTCGTTTGTGTATCGTTTGTGGACTTTACACTGCAGTGAAAATGGAGAACATGGTGAGTAAAATGCAAAGAAACATCCCCAGGATACCGAGATCATCCTGAAGTGCGACCACAAGGAGGAGGAGGAGGAGGAGACTCACATCCTGGTTGTGGGGAGTCTTCCTGCTTTTCACCTCCAGACCTTTGATCGACGTGCTGAATCAGCGTTACTTTACAACCATCCCACGTGAAGAATGCAAAAAGAGGAAGTGCTGTAGGAGCCACACGGTGCCAGAACCCCCCAGCCGGTTCGATGGCCACGTCTGGCCCGTGTGTTTGCAACACGAGGACTTGGGGTTCAGAGGGTTCGTGCTTTTGCATAAATCCAAGCACACAAACCACCAAATATAGAAAAGAGCTGAACAGAAAAAATAAGGATGCAAACAACAAAGCAGACACCCATGATAAACTATATAAAGAAGAAAGCGAAATATGAAAGGAAAAGATCACGTCAGCACAGTAACGACTGTTTAAGAGAGAACCTTTTGATGTAAGCAAGTTTAAATGACATTTTAAAAGAAGATGCTGCCATTGTCCATTTGAGATCCTTAGGGAGGGACTTTCATAGCTGAGGGGCACCAACAGCACATCTATATGAAGACATGTAGACATATACACATCTGTACAGCAGCTGTCTGTAGGGATGCTGCAGCAGAAGTGACCAAACCTTCTTTAGTTTAGTTTGGATAAGATGCTAATGTCATGTTTTGAAGCATTCACAGGACGGAGGCGATCAGTTTCATGTCATTTACTCTCTGTGCTATTCATGCATTTTAATCAATGACTCATTTCCACACAAATTGCTGTTTTTACACAATGTTTGCAATTAGCCAAAGGTGGCCGTTGCCGCCGCAGCAGTTCATCGGTAAATACTTCATATATATAGACATGTACTGACAGGTCCTGCTCATCTGGTAGTCTCTGTGTCCCTCCAAAGACACAGCCAAGGAGGAACGAGTGAACGCTTTTTTTGAGGTCACCGCAAAATGGGTTGTTTACAAGCTAAAAAAAGAGGCGCCATCAAAAAATAGGCTGCATCTAATGGAAGAAAACTGTTCAATTACTCTCCATGCAATTCTCTGGTGGTTCGTCCTTGTATATTATTGAAAGGGAATACATACGCCTGGAGCAAACATGTAGGGACGACACTGACACCGTACAGGTGAGCGGAAAGTGATTTTCTTTTGCTTCCTTTTATGAAACACTCTGAGCGTGTGTGTGTGTGTGTGTGTTTGGTGTGTGTTTTGTGTGCGTCTTCTCCACCAGAGGTGCTGCCGTGACGTCTAACCGGTGAGTCAGGTCCTCATAATGAAGTTTCCACTCGGGGGTGCATGCACACCTTGTTAAACGAGGAGCACAGATTCAATCAGTCAAATTGATTTGCACACTTCACTCTTGCTCTTCACTCTTTTTTTTTCTTTCTTTCTGTTGAAAAGACTGACCTATGAGGGGATTAAGAGGAGGGATTCACAGGGGTCCGCTACTTGTTCTCATCAGTGTATGATAATGTGAACACGCAGTCAAGAAATGTACTCACTGAAACACGCCAACAATCCCCCATTCAGGATCAGCGAAGGGGGCTTTAAAGATCCCAACCAGAGGAGGTTTAAGAAGAGGGCAGGCAAGTTCACTAGTTCACCGACGCTTCATCTTTTGTCTGATGAAGCGAGCTGCACTATCGATTAAACAGCGTGTGGGTGGGCTCCATACATACCATACACAAAAGCCACGCAAACGCTCACTCCTCCCCATCCGGAGAGGAGCAGGAGACCCCTTACCTCAATCACACCCCGAGGCCTTGAGACTCTGTGCTCTTTACTTCGCGCGTCTATAAAAAGAGCTTTCCTCCTCTAAAGGAAGCAACAGCAGACCCTCTCGAACTGAGCATTTCATTGCAGAGCAGAGAGGAAGCCGGAGAGGAAGAGCAGAGGGAGCACAGTGGAGAGAATCTGGAAGATCGGTGGACAATCAGAGTGAAGAAAACCAGAAGAGGAGGAGAAGCACTTGGAAAAGGTAAAAGAAGAAAGAAAATTATTGTTGTCTTGTGCTTGCTTTTTTTTTTTTTGGCATGAATAGAAAGAAACACAAAAAGATGTCTGGTGGTTGTTCTTGTTTTTCTTAATGAATGAGCACCGAAGCTTTGATTAACACCCAAAGATTTTCTTTACATTTTAGAATATTTGCAAACAGTCGCCTTGAAGTCAGATTTAAATTGCTTTCTGCTGATGCACACCGAGGCAGACGCGAACCCACAAAGCTGTTAAATAACACCATGTGTCAATTAACGCACATGATTTCAATGTATTTTGATTGCAGCTTGCGGGTTTCTTTTTATCGGAGTGTATCTGTGGAGAGCAGGGCTCAGCTGAGTGAGTCATGCTGTAGGACGAGTGGAGTCGAGTCTCTGCCAGAGTTACAAAGACGATGGCCCACCGAGGAGTCACTCTTTAGAATAATGAAGGAGGCAGCGAGGAAAAGCACAGGAGGCAGCTTCTCAACAAATGAAAGGCAACAGCCCTAGACCCCTGTTAGACAATTACCGCACCGAGATGAAAAGTTGTTTTTTAAAAAATGTAAAAGAAAGAGGCTTTAAAATGTCAACAAACAAAAAAAAGCAGAATTAGAGCAGTGAGTCAAGTTGAACAAGAGGAGTTGGTTGGGTTTGATTTCTCTGCTCTGTAGCTTCTACAAAATATTCGCCTAAAGATTCACATAAATAATGTCTGTGACACACGCTGGGCAGCAGAGAATGACAGGAGCCGATTTTTCATGTTCTGTCTCGTTTCTGAACTGTGCAGAACTCACAGTGCATGAATGCATCATCCCACCACCTGTATGTTTTCCTCACATGCGTCTATGTATAGTTACTGATCATTTACACTTTGCAGACGACACAAAAGGTGACATTTGTGCGCCGGTTGCGCCGTGACCTTTCGCTCGCTGGCATCACAGCTCTTTGTTAGCATTATATAAAACACACACACACACACACACACACACACACACACACACACAAGAGTTGTTTCAAAAGCAATAGACTCATTGTTTGTCAGAAACTCAAGAGAAGATCAGTACGTCATTGGTGACACGGCAGCCGAGCGGTTGGGGTGGAAGCCGTGTGGACACGATGACCCTGAGCAGCAGATCTCTGGTGTGGTTCCTGCAGATCTGCTCTTTTTAAAAATTTAAAAAAAAAAAAAAGAGCAATGCTTCGCTGAAGTACTTTGTTAGCAAACCGTGTTAATTATAGCTGTGCGTCCTTGTGCGGCTGTAATGAGGCTGAATGAGGGGTTCAGGGTCTGCTTTCCTGGTTGTTATGAGCCACTTGGAGCAGATAACGCCTCGGCCTATGGACTACATGTTGAGTTGTTTTATGTGTGAAAGCGTGAAACGCTTTAATGTCCATGTTTGTTACAAGCTAAAGACGACCTCTATCCTCTGGATTAATTAAGAGGGCAAAAAAGTTGAGCTGTGAAGTGCTGACAGATGTGGATGCAGGTGTTTTACTGTATCTTCTACCACTGGAGCTTAATTAATGTGTTTACATTGTGCTGCGACTGAAAGCAACTTTAATTGCGGTTTCCTGTAAATTCTTTAAAAGTAATAATAATAAAAGTATAAACCGTGATTACAGACAAATACCATAAACAAAAATGTGTTTTTAAGCTTTATGAGCCAGAGTCTACCAACTCTGTCTCACATTTTAAAGTACACGAGGATGTTAAGTTGGATTTAACGAACTGGGAGCATTAATTCAAAGGCAATAGTCTACAACAAAATGTAGTTTGCTTGATATATATTAGAAACCAGGGGAAAAAACTGACTTCATGTAAACACACAAAAAGAAAAAAGCCAAAAAAAACAAATCTCATGGTGTCAGTGTGAAGTTAGCTCTAATACAGTGTTTTGTTTTGTTTAATTGACATTGTCAGGTTTTACAGTAGCCTGCCGTCTAATTTGTGGCTCCAAAAAAGCATCAGATTTTACAGTTCTTTAACGTATTTTGCAAAAAAAACGTTAGAATTTGGCTGCATGTTTACAGTAATTCATCACAGTGCATCAATAACAGAGCAGAAGGTTTGAACACTGTCCACTGATCCATGCTGAGGACTTTACTGGACATAGAAAGAAAAAAAACCCCACCATTACCTAAATTTCAGAGTTAATATGTTGATGTTAAATGTTTTGAAATAATCATTTTTCAGCAGGAGTGGAATCTGCAATTAAGGACGATATAATACGAAGCACTGTGCGTCCAGCTGCTCTTGACTTCTTCTAAGTGATGGCTACTCTGTCAGAAGCACGCCTCCTTGTTATTCTATAATCCATCATCAGGACCTGATCTGAAACCTGCAGAGCTTCTTTATTCATCAGGATGCTTTTGCTTTGACAATACCATGTGAATACAAGAAGGAGCAGGTTTCCTGCTCAGTGCTGCTGACAACCTGTGGCTCAGCAAGCGGGAGAAGCAAATGTCCTCCCTGCTGCACATCGGAGACAAAAAACCCGGTGAAGGTAACGGCGCTCCTACGTGCTGGTATTAAAATGTATGCTTGAACTCTTGTGAACTCAATTTCAGGCAATTCCACGAAAAAAAAAAATCAATCACCTGACGACTTCAGCATCAGCTGGTTGGTTTTTATGCAGCTTTAACTCCAAGTTCCAGCCCTTTGAGTAGACGGGTGGAAGATCTGAGCTCTGTTGAACCAGTTGACTCTGACATCCTCTCCAGGTGTCATCATTCAAAGCCAAATCTCACTTTTGGTCGGCACCAGCTTTTTTCTACCATAAACTTTGAGCATCATCGTCACGGGACGTCACACGGGTTCAGTTTAACGTCTGACACGGTCACAGAAACACCCTGAATGTGTTAGCATCTACAGGTGTTATTTTTAGCTCGGTTGACGTTGCTAACATTATTACTTCATATGTTTCCGTCTCGTTGCGTTCAGGCTGTTGGTGTTAGATGTTGTTCCCACTGATGTGATGTCGTCGGTGCAGTTGTAGCAGCCGAAGCAAACCGATGAGAGTTACTTGTGCGTCACACGCCGTTTTGCGTTACACAAGTGTTTTCATGTTGTTGTCCGAGCCAGGTCTTCCTGATGCACCGTTACGCAAGGTTTTCTCTCGCTGTTATTATCTCCCTCATAATAATAATCCACCAAATACATGGTACCTGAAACCATATGTGCTGAAGACCATTTCATTTGCGCATAGCCTACATCTAGCTGTCATTTCTTAGGACATTTTTGGACAGGGTAAGTCATTCTAAATTGGCGATAGCCTCTCATATGCTGAATGTCAGTCAGAGGCGTCACATCGCCCACCGGACATAACAACGTCTTGCAACAGAATGTCCTAATCTTGTGCAACTGCGTGCATTCTTAGGCTTGTGTCAAGTTAAAAGTCAACGTTTTGCACAACTGTTTCTGGCTCAGACCAACTCAGACCACTTCTATCGAAAAGTGAGCAGAAGTCGGTGAGTTCGGATGTCGTCAGGTTACTGCATGTCTGAAGGTGAAATACGTTGTGTTACCTGTGGTTTCTTCTCAACAAAAGCCAGCTCCGGTTGAATGGCTTCAGCGTGAGGAAGCAGCAGTTGCTTTGATTTGCTCGGGATGCCAGCTGCAGCTCGAGCACACCAGCTCTACCTGTGACGCCGCTCAGACGCAACAGCGAATTGTGTTACTGGAGGGAGTCGGCTGTACACGTTCTGACCAGAAACCAGATCAGTGGAAGAATAATGACGCTACACCCTGAAAGCGGACGTGATTGGTTGCTTAGATTTGTGACGTATGAAAGCTTGGCTGTCTGAATCTGGGTTCGCTGCAGTTTTACGGTGGAAATACTCAGTCACGGCGTTGACTGTTTATTTCCCTCATGATGCCTCTTGTAGCATATAAAAAACACTATATGAACGTGTTAACAAATACAATCTTTAATGCAGCCTTGTAACAGGAAGCAATGAGCTCGTTGATGAGGTACACTTCGTCACTTCCAATAAATCTTTTGTGCAAGTGAAGGCAACTTGAATCCAATGGTGCCCTCCACTACAACACACCAAAACTAAAGCCACCATGAAACAATATTGGGGATTATAACTTTTTGTTGTTTTGTTCTGATTCAGAGACTAGATGCTTGAGAGGAACAATCTTAAATTCTTACTCACTTCAAAGCTCCACATACAGCGTTTAACACATTTATTAGACCAGCTGTCTAATGTGTTCAGACTGTATATGAACATGTAGACCATCCAGCATCATGAAGGGCTTCAGTGCCACTCAGCTCTTGATGTTTTACCATTTTCAACAGAAATGAGGAATTTCAAACTAAATTCATGTCTCTAAGTGTAGCCCTGTGATAGACTGGTTACCTGTCCAGGTGAACCTGCCTTCACCCTGAGTCAGCTGGGATAGACTCCAGCTCCCCGCTTAGTGAGGATTAAGGTGTAGAGATGATGGATGGATGTATTTTGGTTAAAGAGTTTCTACGTACTGGTGTATGAACCAATACAGAAGCATAAGAAATGATTTTGGTAACTACCAATGCTGCTAATTTGGGGCAGCTGTGGTATAAACCTGACACTGGGTGGTGCTTTAATACATTTTCTAAGCACTGAGGATTGTTTCTTAAAACTGACATTATGGTTGTACTTGCTTTAGGTTAAGTGTACAACATAATAGATGGTAGAGAGCGTTGGAATATGATATGTTGTCAAGGCACTGCTAGCTGAGCCTTGACACCATTTAATGGGCATTAATGCATGAGTGGTGCTGATCTGAGGAAAGGGAAAGTTGCATCAATCCCAGGCCAAAGGGCTGAACACATGAAGGTTATGCCAGGTCAGGTGGAAGGAATTCAGCCGCTCACGCAACACACACCACACGCTGACACCAGAACACTGGTCCGATAAAGATGTTTTACAAAACTAACCATACTGGTCATAACAGCGTCCCAATGAGACATCAGCAGCAGGTGCAGCTAACAAAGGAAACGACAGCCAGAGAGCGGCTTTCTTCAGCAGGCTGTGGATTGGATGAATCGCGTGCCAAGAGAAAAGAGAGCTAAGCCTAAACCTTCTCCCCAACCACGTAGCCAATCACGTTGCACTATACTGATTTAAACGTTGACATGAAGCTCCATCCATCGCTGGGGAAGCTGGTTACAGATCAACAGCTTGGGATTCTCTGAACCAGTGCTGCATCCTTCATCAAGTAAATTACAACGCTGCAGAATAAACGAGAGAAGCTGTTGAAAAAAACCAACACGCCTAACAAGAGACATGATCGCAGCTCTTTGTGTGCCTCCTTCAATGGCACTATTCACTCTCTATATATATGTTTATGTGTATTTCCATGCAGCATAATCAGCCCTGCCCTCATAAGCCCTCCTCCTTTGTGAACTCCATCTCATGGCTTCAACAGTGACTGCTTTGAGAAAACTCTGCCGGGAGAAACCGTCACTTCCATTTCAACTTTTTTTCTTTTTGTTTAGATGGAACAAATGTGCCACTGATGAACATCGATGACAATATTACAATGTTGGCCGGAGGGGGAATGTTGATTGTTGGTATTGGAGCTCGCAGTTATTATTCACTCATGACGCCTCAAAGATAGCGTTGAAACGCTCCCAAGTTACATAAGGCAAGGGAGGAAAGTGTTACGCAAGTGCAGTGATCAAGAGACACCTACTGTATTTTCTCTCACAAAACGTCCCACTTAGGAATGATCGGAAGTGTTTGATGGGACTGCCGTGTTATTCGAGCCTTTCCCCCGTGTTCTGAAGAGAATTCCTCCACTTTCCTCTCAGCTCAAAACACAGCCGGAGTCCTCTGCACCGCGGGCTGAAGATGGTGTGTCTCTGTTGGCTGCTGGTGGTGATGATGGCGTACGTGTGTGTCCCGGGGTTCGGGTCGGCGTGCTGGGACAGCTCCATCTGCAAGAACCTGAGCAACAGGGGGAGGATACTGGTAGGTGAATCCTTCGTCATCTGCTTTGGTGTTTTCTCCTTTGTCTTGTCTGTTGCTGAGGTGAGGCAGTAGAACAGCTTTGTGAGGTCAGTTTTGGGATTCGAGGTCCTGGAAACAGCAAAACAACGTCGTGTCGAGGCCCGTTTCAAACTGTCACTGAACCTTCCTCTTTTCTAAACTTTTGGAAGCTCAACTTTTAAGCAAACAGGGACAAGATGCCCTTAATGCACCCAGAAAATGCACATTTAAATATATAGAAAATCTATCTGGAGCTACCAAACAGACCTTAAAGGAATAAAGAAATGTAGTGAGCACATCTTTAACCTCTTAAGAACTGAGCTCTTGTTTGATTTGCTATTTGATCAAATAGCAAAGAGAATGAGAAATAAAAAATATAAAGACAACAAAAATATATTTAAAAAAAACATTGAATAAAATTAGAACATAAATAACAATAATAAAATAACAATAGGTCTTAAGAGGTTAAAAAGGCATCGAATTTAATAAAAAACTACAGCAAACAAAAACATTTTGATCCAAAACACTAGTTAGATGTGATTTAAACCTGAGAAGCAGCAGCAAAAGCAGCTTTTCTGTGGTCTGCAGGGTGGACGCATGGAAGAAGAGATATATTTAAACCACTTTTAGTCATTCACAGTGTTGAAAAGATTTAATCAACCAAAAGGAGGCTAATCAGTACCAGTCATTATATTTATTTTTTTCCCATAATTTGGTGAAACTAAAAACCGACTGCAGCCTCTCTGACGTGAGGACGTTGCTCCTCTTCAGTACTTCTGGGTTATGGACAGAACAAGCTTTCTGAAGACTAAATAATTCACCAGTTAATCATAAAAGCAGAATTGGAAAATTCATTTTTAATGATAATAATTGACAGTTGCGGTCTTTGCCATGAAGCGGCGTGTTTGTCTTTCTTGATGACGTTTTCTTGTTCGGAGACAGAAAAGCTCATCGCAGCCCACCGGAGACGTGTTTTTCTTTCTCATGTCCAGAGTTCAGATAACAACTCGAAGTTTACATTTTTTGCAATAAACGTCACGTAGAACACAGAGGATAATGCCAAGCTTGTCCCATTTTTATCCTCGGGGTAATTCATGCTTTTAACATGGTCTCATTTAACCGCCAGCTGTTCTGACTTCAGTTGATTCATTTGCTTCACCTTTTAAATGCTCCACTTATTCTTCATGGATTTGTTATTTAACAATTTGTTAAGTTTTTGATCTTTGTTCTGTGGTACTTCTGAGCTGCCAACTTTATTGTCTTTCTCACAGCTGCAGTGCCTGTGAAAAACAAACAAAAGGCTCTTTTAATGAATGTAATAATGACAACGCCGTTAATGTTGGTTAATTAAAATATAAAAGTCACACAAGTAATGGCAAAAGTATTTACCCCCCCCTTTAAAGTGACCTGCTTAATTTAACACCGGTGCAGCTAATTGGTGCTTACAGTCATTAGTGAAATGGAGGTCATGTGACTGCAGTATAAGGACACCTGTATCTTCAAGGTTCAGTCACTTCTGGTTTTAATGACTCCATAAAGACTCGAGCCGTTTTGCAAAATTCCAGTTTCCAGGTGTGCGAGGCATTTGGGAGCGATGCACACGGGTTCACAACGGTGGCCAAAGGTGCATCTAGTGAAGACTGGAGGGGGATGAATACTTGTGCTATCATCTAGTTTACTCATTGTTTGAATCAGTTGCTTTCTGGAAATCTGTTTTCACTTTGACACGAAAGAGTCTTTTGGGTTTTGTTGTCAGACATTAAAATGACCATAATTTGATGTTGAAAAGCAATTAAAGCAGAAGACTTCCAAGAGTGTGTTTAATAAGTGTATTCATATTGCAAATGAGGCCGCTGTGCTTCCCTGTGTTATGAATTTAAATGTAGGTTGAAGGCTTTTTTATTATAACACCGGAGTTATTTCATCTCTAGAAACTCCAATTTGTTCATTCTGTGTGTCAAAGTCTATTGATGGGTTTTAATTCAACACATTCAGTGATTCAGATCTGTGTGCCGCTGGTGTAATTATGATCAGAATCTGTGCATCCACGAGAATAAACAACCCTCAAAGTGACAAAATACAGTCAGTGGCTTATTACTTTATCTTCACACGCTGCTGTTTCTGTGATTTCTTCCACACAGGACTGCGTTCAGTTCTGCATGTCTGTGATCCAGACTGAAATCCCAGAGCTCAGCGCCTTCACCCTGAAGGTCAGTGACGACGATGATCTCTTACTCACCATCATTCTGGCCACACTGGCCTCTGAAAACAAAATACCAGAGTCAGATCTGAAAGCCCACGGCGACGAGAGACGCTCCTACTCCATGGAGCATTTCCGCTGGGGGAAACCCGCCGGAGACAAATTAAGAGCGGGAAAGCTGAGGGGCCACAGCAACGAGAGACGCTCCTACTCCATGGAGCATTTCCGCTGGGGGAAACCCTCCGGTCGTAAGCGCAGACCTGTTAAAGTCTTTGCCTCGTCGCTGGAGGGAGGGGGCTCCTTCGAGGGCAGCTTCCCCCGTCAGGTTCGCAGGCAGCTGAGCGGCAACGAGGACGAAACAATGGGAGATTTTAACGGAGGAAGTCAACAAAGTCAGGGATTGCTGAGGGCCAAGGCTAGCTCCAAGTCACACGGCCCGTTGAGCCTGCAGGAGAGAAAAGATGGAACCTATCGGATGAGTCACTTCAGATGGGGCAGCCCACCTGCATCTAAACGTAACGGCAGCTTTATGAAGCCGTGGGAGGCGAAACCCCAGGGGCAGCTGGCCAAGTTGTTCAGGAACATTATAGTCAAGGATGCGCAGAGGATAATATAATAAATGGAAGATGGAGCAGAGGAGGAGAATAACAGAGTCTAATAGCCATTGCATGTTAGTACCCACATGTCTTAATTTTAAATTACAGATATATATTGCTATCTTTAGCATGTTGTTGAATGTCTTTTCTTAAAGATTAAAAAAATAACAATAACCAAGGCAGTGTTATGTTGAATAAAAACACTGATGCACCCACTGGCTGCCTTGAACTTCTTGACCTTGACTTGAAAGCTCTAGAAGAGTGTTTTTTTGTTTTCTTGTGGATCACACCATTAATGATCCAGCGGTGTTTGAACAGTGAATGTCACGCCACCATTGTAGCTGGTTGTAAAGAGATGAACTCATGACAGATGGTGGGGGACAAACACGCAACGGTGGAATGTAATCACGCAGTATGTTCACTTTATGCAACTTCGTATTACTCCACCGCACCTCAAGGGCAAATATTGCACTTTGCCACATTTGTCTGACAGCTGCAGCTCCTTACAGATTCCAACGTTGCATAACCTTCCTGCCCATGAAAAGCATGGATCCCACAGAGTCTTTGTGGTAAACTGAAGAATTCTTTGATGATTCTACTTCAACTCAGTAAAGTTTTTTTTTTTAAATAATTACCCAGAAAATGGACACTGGCATTGAGACTTCTAGACATTTTAGGCTGGTTTACAGTAGAGCCCGACTGATAATTGATTTTTTGGGCCTTTGTCAATGCCAAATATCACAAAGTAATAAACTGAGATAACAACGTATTGGTCAGTTTACATATATAAAGTATATTTATACACATATTTTATGCATAACAATTAAAAAGGTATGAGACATTGACTAATTTTGAAGCTGTCATATCATCAAGAATATAATGACTGGTGCAGTTATATTCTATATTCTATTCTAAATTGCTTAATATTGACTAATTATGACTTTCTATGTGGCTATTTTAGGAATAACATCAGTAAAGTCCATGACAAAACATCATACATCCTTTCCGCTAAACCATGTACTCTCTACTCTGTCAAGCTAGCTGGGATGTAGTTGTATTCAGAACCTTTTCTTATTTTTTTTTTTGGTATAGGGCTTCGATGCTAACGCATTAGCTTGCACTCAACTGAGAAGCTGTGAAAGTCGCTACGTTGTGTGCTAGCCAGGTGAGAACTAGTTTGATTAGTGATATCACAGTCATGAGAGCTGTCAGAGGAGAGTGAAAAGTAGAGACGTGTTTTATTCCAGCAATGTAGTTCAAAAGCTAGACAGCAGGTGAAGACACCGTTTGACTCGGCACCACCGTCTGCTCAGCTGCATGTGCTGCTGAGAGTGAGCTCTGTTGGTCAATGAACCCATTTTAAACCTATTTTTGGATTATGTCCTTTTAAAATAAGCTGTAACATCACGTAATATAAATGGAGATCCTGATATGCCAGTGATGGGCCTGAATCAGCAGATAAAATCGACAATGAAAACAGTGTCCTAAGATAGTCTAATGTGAGTTTAATATGAAGAAACACTGGCTTATTTTAAGATGAACAGGTCAGCCTCCATACTCTCAGGCTAACTATATTTTCATGGTAATACTCAGCTGTTGAATACATTTTCACAGTGTGGTATTAATACTTAGGATCGGAATATATTTTCCAGCACTAGAGATAAGAGAAGTCTAAATCTGGAGGATGAGGTCGACAGGGGAGACAGAAACAGTGTCGGGACAGTCGGAGTGAAACAAGTGGTGGAATATAAATAAACGCTGGTGTTCAGCAGGTGTAACATTCATTATGTTCAACTATATTTGTGCCAGTTTTTATTCTCCCTCTGCAAAACTCAAATCTTAGTACAGACATTTAAAGACCCCGTCTGGGTAAAAAAAACAACAAAAACAAATCAAGGTTTTTACCTTCGTAGCACGTCCATATGGTGTTTTTTATATGCTGGAAGAGACATCATGGGTGAAATGAGCATTTGGCGAAGAAAACAATCCTGTCAACCTGCCTGCTGGGACTCTCTGTATCATTAATCTTCTTCACAATTGGTTTCTGGCTCCAAACTGTGTGGCTAAAGCACTACAAATAGTTGCCACTGTGCAGAGTTGCAGGCGAGCTGGTGTGCTCCAGGTGCAGTGAGCGCAGAAAGAGGAGCAACACTGTGGTTTTACATCTACTTCTACATGTGCAACTTTGACACACAGAGATGAGTTTTTAGAAATCAACAACCAGAGAGGTGCCTTAAAGACAACGGAGCTAAATAATAAAGAGAGATTTTAGTCTGGACCAAAGTGGTGGAGCAAAGACTCCTGTGTGTAGAACTACATGGAGAAGGGTCTAATAATTAACAGGATCTATTTTATATTCATCATTATTCCCAACTTTAGCATATCTTGTCAGATTTTTTACAGTTTAAAATGTCTTTGGATACCATATTATGCTGAAAGGTGCGGGAGCAGTGAAGCAGAAACACTATACGCTGAAGAACAAACCCTGCAGCTCGTCGAACACCGAATGCTAACATCTGTGTGTAGTCGAACCTCCGGAGCATCTTGAGCTTCCTTCACTGAACAACAATGCATGACGTGATCTCGTTAGAAAACAACGTGACAAAACAAAAGCAGGGCCAGGTCTGCTATGATTACAGATGAATTTATTGTACAACACAGCAACATCACTAGCATGCAAAGTCAGGTATGACACGCATAAGGCATTTCCTCCATGTAAAAGCTGCCTTTGTCACTAGGTTTTCCAGTTTTTAAAGTGCAAAGTTCACAGAATGAATAGATTTGACCTACAGCACTACATTGTAAACAGATCTATTAACCAGACATGTAATGACAAAGAAAAAGTACGTTTGGATTACCGTCAGTTAATATTACATTACACAAATGCGATGACGACACGCGACAGACTGATAGATTTACAGGTCTTCACCGCCAAGTTCAAGATGCTGAACGGACAATTGTACAAGGTGTCACTGGAAGGTTTAGACAGCTGCACGTTGCGCTTAAATAGCTTGTTCTTCATTAACATGGTGGAAAGAGTCACTGGACAAAAAACTGTAAACTGTGTCTTGAAGAGTTTGGTCTTGGGTGACGATGATGAATCCGGGCGAGCGTTCACACAGACACGTGAACCAAGACGCCCACTCACGCGCCGATAAGACGAGTAAACATGGAGAGACGGTCCCATAGAGAGGCATGTGTGGACATAAATATGATACACGGGACGCTAGAAGAACAGAAAAAGAGCCAACTGGATTGCAACACATGACAAACAAGAGACAAACCAGACACTGTCTACATTTAACAAGATGGTCGTAACACATGCCCGACGCAGTTCGTCCACAGAAGCAAGAGGAGACACAAAGCGAGGGGGGCGGCCTCCCAGAACGCCACAAAACCCAACCGTCACAGCACCACAACAGCAGGTACGATTTAAAAAAAAGAACGCACAAATGGATCTGCTACCTACAGTCGGACCGTGTTAGCCAGGCTCGTGCCAAATTATTGCCATTATACTTTGTTTTTATACCTGCGTGTGCACACGTGCGCACAAAATGGCTTATTTCTCAGACAGATGCTCGGAAGCCGCAGCAGCAGCAGTATGGCGTAAAATCAGGACTCCAGCGGGACCGAGGAGGTGAATGACGAGACCGGTTCTGAACCCCGTACCTAGTAATGAAGTTATTTAAAACCTGCTTTTTCTACTGAGAGTGTAATCAGATGGGCTCATTAATAGTTCATGAGTGCGACCTGCTGGCCTTGAGATTATGCAGATTTCTGCTGTGGGCTGTTTAGACAGTTTGACTTCATGTGTTGCTGGTTACTAAGTGGAGATTCTAACAAAGAGTATCCGGATACTGAGTACATTTCTCCCTCGTCTATGGACACAACCAGTGCAGCGGCAGTCTAAAATTAGGATATACAGTATATATATATACACACACACACAACATCCCTAATCTGTACATCAGCTTAAAGATTTATATATATTCTCTGTATATACACATTTATATGGGAAGGAGAAAAATAAAGTATCATTAATTAATTTCCAAGTGTTTGATCTGGTAAACGTTGCAGTAAACACTTCACGATTGTGGCGCAGTGTGTGTGTGTGTGTGTGATGTCATCTTTTGGTTAAACTGTTAAAAACAATATAATAAATAGAACAGGAAATAAATGCCTGACATAAAAGAAGAAAAAAAAAAAGCACTTCTGGCTAACACTAAGAAGGCAAAACAAAACTACGGTGAAGCGTTAAAACACTGAAGACAGACGAAGTTCAAGAGCTGAGCGACATGAGAGACGGGAAGGAGTAACTTCATATCTATCCATCAATCAAACATACACAAAAATACATCGTCAAGTAAATTAGAACGCTTCAACTTCACACGCTTCCTGGCCATTAGGTCGATTAAAAAAAACAAAACAAAACGTAACATAAAATGTCCAGTAAGTACGATTGGTCAGTCTAATTTTGAGATCAAATGTAGTATGGCACCCTGTAAGGGACAAACAAGTCAAAAGAACGTCCAAGATCTGCAGTGGCAGCAAAGTGTTTCCAGCTACGGGGCATGCGTCAACTCAACTCATTCTAAAGTCAGAGAAGTCACGTTCAGTCGGCCACAGGTTGTCGTTCTCACAGTACTTGGCAAATTTATAATCTGAAAATCCAACCAGTGGAGTTTCTACAGAGGAGAAGTGGATGAAATTGGTTTCTTTTACTGCTGCATTTATCGACATTTGCCGGCTCGTTTTGGCAAAGGGTAAAAAGGAAAACCTCTAACTTTATCGAGAAGTGGCTTGTTCTTTAGTTGCAACGGAGTTTGTCCCACATGCACTGTGGTCGTCTGATTCCACGGTCAAGATGACTCACGCCGTCCCTCCCAGGACCCCTCTCCTGTAGTCGTGAACACGCTAAACTGTTCTGTAAGGTCGCTGTTGACTTGGTGGTCTAGTACACGCAAAGGTCGGGGAACTTCATCTCGTAAATGGGTACAGATCGACTCTGGTTTTGGCCGTAACCTGATGAAATGGTTCCAGATGGGCTGGGAGGAGGTCTGGACAGCGAGAGGAACAAAAAACAAAGCAATTGTTATCGCTATGAGTCAATGCTTTTGTCTTTCTCATCCGGTTAGTCAGGATCACTGCCTTCTGAGTCAATGTCAGCCTCTAGAAATATCCCTTACCTGATTGTGATCTCGAAGATCTGATTGAGTTTGCTCTGCAGTAGTGTGGCCTGGAGGGGACAGAGGTCATGAAAACATTTAATCCAGGAACAAGATGAAAAAAACGACGCTACAATCAAGGGTCAGTGTGTTTATTATACCCTGGCGCCGCAGTGGGCAGCTATCTCCTCGAAGGGGGCTTTCTGGAACTTCTCCACCACTTGTCTCCTCCGCTCCCTCTCCTGCTCCTCCATACCCACGCTGTCCACTAGAGGGAGAACGAAACACGTCAAAACGCTGGAGGTGGCAACGTGTGGTCAGTACCAGTGTGATTAAAGAAAAGAAGAACAGCAGAAATCCCAACCGCTGAACGCAGGACGAGCTAAACAGTTAACAATTAATAGTAAAAAGACATGTATTTAAATTAATACCTGAGTGCAAAAGCATCAAAATATACCAACAGTGCCAAAAGTTAAAATGCTCCTAATGCACAACGACATATTTAATAATAATGTATAACACTAGATTACTGGTGCTTCAGTGTGTTGATTACTGTAATAGTGAAGCTGGTAAAGAAGATTTAAATGTCTGCTGGGTAGCTGGTGAATCTCTTTATCTTTAACATTAAGCCATATTCATGTTTCTGTTATGAAAAAAAAGTGATCAAAGGAATGTGGATGAGTTAAAAGTACACAGGCTTGAATTTTACTGGATTAAAAGCAGCAAAATAAAAATACTCAAGCACAAGTAACACAAAACTTAAGTACAACACTTGAATAAAAACATGTTGTACAGTCTTTCTGCTGCCTGAGTGTTGTGTTTATTGCTCTGGCAGCTCATTTCAGTAAACAAACATGTTACCTAAACTACCGTCCACACACACACAAAGTTTCACCAAACGAGCACAACAGGTGACGCTGAGAACGGTGCCATTTCCATGAACAATCTAAACCGAGCCGATCCCAGAGTGGACGTACCGATGGCGTTTTTCAGGGTCTCAAATGTGATCTCCTCAGCTGGCGTCCTCTGCAGAACGGGACAAGAAAACGTCTGTTAAACTTTGAGTTCTAGATCAGTGGTTCCCACAGTGGGGGCAGCGAGGTGATTTCTTGAAATCAAATAACATTCAAAGATGATTACATGCTTCAATGTTTAGGCATAAACATTACAAAAGGATTAAAAACCAAAGTCTGCTGTTCCTACATAATGTCTGTTTATTCAGTACTACAGTTGATAAATGGAGATCTTCCTGTTTTCCTCTTCTTCCCTCTATCAAATAACCGTAAAATGATGTTACTATTGTGAGACTACTGTGTTTTACTATTCCTTTGTCTGTGGCACCGTTATATTGAGGGTCAAAAGGTTCGAAACCTCTGCTCAAGACTGTTGTAAATCCCTTTTTCGGTTACCTCCTCTTTCTCTGGACTGTTTCGGGACTCGACTTCGACCTGAAGCGAGATGGTCTCCCCGATGCTCTTCCTCTTGGACAGACGGTCCTCATCTGGAAGCAGAGCACAGATATTTATGCATTTACTGAAAATGTAAAAATAGAGGAAACCCAAAACAAACAAAAAAAAACAGAGAGACTAAGACACTGATGGTTTGCAAATTCATTTCAAAGTTCCAGAGAAGCTGTTCAGCTCTGCGTTTCCACTCAGGTTTGGGCTCCTCACCAGTGAACTGAGGGACGTAAGGCGTCGCCAGTCTCTCTGTGTTGTAACCACTTCCTCCAAGGACCTCAGTGATCTTCGACTGCAGGAACAAAACATCGCCTTCCACCTTCTCCAGCGAAGACGGCAGCCTGAGCATAAAGAAAGAACCCTGAATCTTTTTCATGAGGTAGGTAGCAGGACTTTACTGCTGGTATTGTGGATTCAAAAATCTAATTGAACTCTGGTGTGGCTGCGGAGAAAAGAGCCTCGTATGTGACGTTGACGTACTTGGGATTTTCAATGAACACGTCCTCGGGCAAAAGGTAAGGACTCTCTTTCTGTCTCACCTCAATTACCTGAAGGGCAGAGAATAAATAAAAGGTAGTTTATTAGCATTAAGTACTCAGACACAGACATTTGCACACAGAAGGCGTAGACCCACACCTCGTGGATGTGCTGGCAGAAGGCTGGGACGGTGGTGAGCTGGCAGATGAGGTTGAGGTAGGCGGCGGCGAGGGCATGAACAGCACAGCGGTTATAAACAGGCAGAGCCTCGTCGGTGGACAGAGCCAGGTCCTGCACGGGACGCAAAGAGACATCAGAAGAGATCCCTGGACTGTGAAACACTGTCTGTTCCTGCTGTTACTATTAATGCTTAATTTAAACTATCACGCTATGACACTGCCTCAGTTAATATATAATAATATATATATAAAAAAAAACAACACACTGTTACGGTCACCGCATTAAAATGGGAGTCGATAACTCCAGCTATAGGATAAAGCCGGATGTGCATGCGTACCTGCAAGGCAAGCGCCAGGCGAATGAGGTCCACCACCACCTCTTCGTTGGCCAGCTCCACGCTCAGGAGCCCCAGCAGAGCGAAGAGGGTCTCGTAGTGCTGCCGTCCGCTGCTCTGCTCCTTGCAGCCCAAGTAGATGTGTCGGTACAGCTGCTGGCCGTGCTGCGAGTGGATGATGTGCAGGGAGAATAATGATGAGCAACAGAGAGAGGACTCTGGAGTGTGGTTACATCGCAAGTCTGAATATTAATTTGTGCAAAGTAAATAGAAAAAACAGTTTAATGAGGATATACATTTACATAATGTTGCACAGACTGAATTACTAGTCTGCATTGGCAATTAACGCGCTGTTTTGTGAGAAATTATCCGTTTAATTATGTGTGAAAGTATGACAACATTTGTAAAAAGCAAAAAAATGCTAAGTATGGATAAATGTGTACCTTCTTCATGAATAAATTGTCCTGTCTGGAGCACTTGTCCACTTTAAGCTTCAGCACAGAGATGTCTGAAATGATGCTGCACAGAAAGAAAGCCGAGGGAAAGAAACACCAGCTGTTAGGCAAAGTTCCAAAACACGACAACTTCAGCCCGACTACGCTCCCACGTGCGCGACCACACACCTTATGCTGGAGAACTTGGGCCTGTTGTCGTGCCGGTCAATGAGACTGAGAAGAATCTGGAGCACCAGCAGTCGAACCTCCGGATCCTCGGTGAGAGAGAAGGAGAGCAACGGCTCCAAGAAAGAGCTGGGCAGCGCTGTCAGCATGTTGGTAGTCTGGAAACCTGCCGTCACCTACGAGATTAAAGACCGAAAGCTGTTTATGGTTTAAAATGTCTCGGCATGCGATGAGGAATCGAGCTGCACTGAGCGAGGCTGCGTTTTTGGTCTTGACACGTAAGCTGCAAATCATTTTCAAACACATTTTGCCCACATGTGGAAGTGCAAATTATATTGAGCAAATGTGACAAAAAAAAATGTTGGCACACCAGCGTGAGACACACTTGAGTTCTGACGCTTTTATTATAAAACATCAGTGTGCAAAACATTCAGGCTTCCCACCTTTAGTCAGCGCTGAGTGTTGCTGCTGAGGGTTAAAATGACGAACACCAGGTCGTATTAGGAGTCGCTGACTTGCTCTGGCTGTAGATCTATGACTTAACTTGATGACAGCCCAAAAAATGTAATTCTACAGTTGTCTGCTTTGTGTTTCTTTGCAAGTCTGTGAGGCTTTGGCAGCTTTCTGCAGTGTCAAATAAGACAGAAGACATCAAACCTATGGAATAACACTAATGGAACTGTACAGTGACAAAAAAGCATAAACAAAGCAAAATATTTTCCATATTTTAGAGCAGCTACCGTTGGCCTTCATGAGCGCTCTGCACACGACTGGAAATGTCTGAAGCTACCTCATGGCATCGTCATCAAGAAGTGTTTTCAGTTAACATCTGTGTGCTGTCAAAAATGAAACGGTGGAAATTCTTCTTAATGCATTTGAGATCATCAGTTGTGTTGTGCTGAAGTAGGGTCGGTGTTATGGAATTCCTTTAGAGGCTGAAGGAGGGTGAGGAACCCGACACAGAGAGACACACCGGAGACTCAGATGACTTGGGTGGAAATGAGGTTCGCTGGTACCAGGAGAACAGACACTAACAGAGCAGCAGTTCATGCCTACAATGCCAGCATCAGTTCTGAGGGTTCTCTCGCACCTTAGGTCTGATATCAGTGGAGACCATATCTAGATTTATAGATGACAGGAAAAGAAAGTTTGGCGCCTTGGTGCAATCTGGCCTTAAGGGGCGCAGGAAGTGCTCGCCTGTCCTCGTACAATAGATCTGCATGACTTCAAAAACCTATAGAAGATTTGCAGATCGGTACACATCTGTTATAGATATTATAGATTGATGTCACAAGACCTCTACTTGGCGAGGTCAGGAGAGGAGTTAAGGGTAAAGTTCAGTGTCATCTTCAGAGGCCTAACTCCAGAGGGAGCAAAGTCATTTTTCCTCCACAGTTGGTATGAACCAACACGACCACAGAGCTCCAGTGAGCCGTATGTCTGACGTCTCTGCGCCCCAGACTGGTAATGTGGTTGGGATGAGTACTTTCACAAGCAATTATATATGATTGATAAAAAAAAACATTACATCAGTAGAAAAACAGCCGCATTGCACAAACATTTCCCAGTGGAAGGAAAGAACACATGTGAAGCCATGCAGAGAAATGAAAACAAGAACAAATTCCTTAGCTTCAAGAGCACAGCTTGAAAATATTGTTTTTGTGAACGATATGCTGAGATAAAGTTTGATCTAGTACGGCTATTGAGAAATGACGTGTCATCCTGGCTGACTGGACTGATATTACTCCTTGACCCTCCTCTTACAGAACTAAGATAAACACTTGTATATAAACTCTACTGTCTTATATCAACTCAACTGATACGGCGAGGCAGTGATGGATGCTGCCACTTCCTCTTCGTCACTCTGACCTCCGGTGTGGCTTTCTTGCCCCTGCCATTTTTGCTTCCATAGCGGTTTGGTTTATTTCATATTTGTGTATGTGTTAACCTAAGAATCATGAACTTTTGTATTTCTTGTCCTTCGTGTGAACATTTCCGAATTTAAATTAAATCATTTAGAAATGAAAACTCACCTGAACCAAAGACTTGAGTAACATAACCTGAATCATCCTGGTCCCTTCAGGCCTGCGGATGAAAAACAGCCAGACTTAAATGTGTCCTTAAATCCACCAACACTCAAGTCTGAACACATTTGTTCACAAACTGTGACACCAGCTAAATGCACGTATGGCTGTCCTGGGAAAAGTCTGTATGATCGTATCGGATTGTATGTGCACGGCGTGAAAGTTATGAGTGACGTACCCGGAGCCTGTGGAGGGCAGAGCTAGGTGCATTCCAGGGACGGGGATCTTGCCCATGATGAAGAGCATGACCTCTGACCTCTGGTAGGTTGGCAGAGTGTTGGCAAATGAACCTGAAAGAGAAACATGTGGATCAGAAGGATTAAAGGAGGAACAGAAAAAAAAAATAATCCTAATGCTACTCAAGAGAAAACTCACACTTGCACAAAGACACAGACGGGTAACTATGAGCACCACAGACCATCTATTGAACCCTCCTACACATCCCGTTACTTACCAATGGTCCTAATGACTGCCTCCTGCAGCTGCCTCTCCTCGTGAGCTTTGATAATCTTGGTGCCGATGTTGGTGCTGCCGTCATATGAGCCGGTCAGCTCGTAGTCTACGCTCAGACGAAGCTGCCGCAGCAGTGTGTTGAACACCTCCAGCACTGTAGGACCTGCAAACACGCACAGAAGACTCAAGAGATCATTTCACTCCAGATAAAAATCATCTGATGTATTCTGTCTGAACCCCTGTAAAACTTCCCAGCACCTCGTGTGCATGTAACTCACCTACAGAGCCACTGGCTGCAATGGCAGCTGCTTCCAGCAAGACTTCCACTATCCCAGCTCGCACTGTGGCCGAGTTCTTGCTGTTAGCATCAAGGTGGCCGAGAAGCTGCTGGATCACCAGGTGAGAGTGTTGGGACTGAAAAAAAAAAAAAAGCAGAGGAGGAATGACTGAATGAAACCAGTCCGAAAAAACAAAACATAGTAGTTCTAGTTCTAGTAAACCATTGCACCAGGGAGCTAACACTGGAGCTGGAGATAAAGCACTTCACTGACTTGCATTTTTCATTTAAGTCCAAAATCAGTCACAGCTGTGAGGATTGGTGCTCGAAGGAATGTGGAAGCATCTCTAATTTTCTGAACTATGTTTGGCAGTAAATCAGTGGGAGCTCCATGAATATTGGAGCATGTTTGCACTCTGCCCCCCTACGATGTGTCACAACCACTTACAGAGACAAAAAAAAATAAATAAATAAATGGTGCTGCGTAAAGCACACATAATGTTTGAGGATTTCATTTGGATGTGGAGATGAGCAGAGTGAAAGAGAGAGAAAAGGGGTGAGGAAAGGTTGCGGAGAATATGCAGGCGTTGTATCACTGACCTGGATGGAGTACATGATGATTTTGAAGCACCGCACAGCGAAGGTCTTTCCCTCCCATAGAGAGTGGTTATCTAAGTGCCTGGGGAACGCAGACAGAAGGAGGGAGGATACAGACGATGTTATTATACAGCACCAGGAGGGATGAAGAGTAGTGAGGCATAGAGTACATTTACAGACTCCCGACAACAACACTCCATATGTACTTTTTTTGCAATTACGAATGATATGAACTGCAAAAGCAAAGGAAAGTTACTTATGAGATAAAAAAAAAAAGTAGGGACGCCCAGGTAAACATTTATTACAATGTGCTGCAGTCTACAATCAATATTTACAGGCTTTTGAGCATTTATATCAATCTAAAGTTGTGAAAAGTGCAGTGGCATGGCCATGAAGACCCAATCAACGCTAACGATCAGGATCCCACAAACGTAATCAAGGTCAGTACGACTGAACAGCTGGTTGAGAAGTAGGCAAAGAAGGTGTGCCGAGGACAGAGGGAGATAAATCACTACAGCACAAAACGGACAGAACACGGGACAGTGATGGATGGGCGGGACCCGGTCTCACACAGCACATGACTGCTGAGATGAATTAAAGGGAAAATTGAAAATAGATGGATCAAGACCGTTCAAAACAAAAATAAATTTGAGATATAACTGCACAGGGAAATGGAAATAAATCAACAAAGGCATCGCAGGTTTAGAAGCTGCTGGAGCTGCCCATGCCCAAGACCCCCATGCATTTTTAAAATGTTTTCAGGAGAACCTAAATTACTGGGTTTACAATTTGTCTGTCAGGGGACCGTATGGTTGTAAAAATCCACATTTTTTGCAGGTTAAAATTAGGAGGGCCTAAAGGCACCTGAAACATCAGCACTAATTGGCAAATTCTATCTGCTGTATCTCACTGAGCTTCAGCTGAACATTTTAGCTACTACACCCACCATAACGCCATGTTTATTAGAAAATAAAGTCGGAGAAAGCACAAACTCTAGTCGAGATGCAGGAAATTAAGCCAAAGGGGAAAAACGATAGATGGACAGATAATAGAAGTAAGAGAAGTGAAGGCACACAGAGGCACATGCGGTGCAAGGAAAAGGCTGAGGCAGATAAAACACAATATTCCCTGAGGAACAGTAACGGTGGACTGATTCAAATAAGGAGAGAGAGGAGGAGAAAGATGGAGAAACAAACAACTCACAGAGAATCAGATATGAAGACAACCGAGTTAAATTAAAAACACGACAGAAATTGTATGAAAAGCATGAAAATGCGGTGACAAAGCAGGAAATCCTGCAATTTCTTGCTGCAAAAGAACGACAACTTCAGTAAAATGACAACACCTCCAGGAAAAACTCAACATAAATGCAGTAACACACGATTGAAATGTCCCATCTGCAAATCACGCGCTCACATTTGGTCAAGAGCAACTGCGTAACCTTGCATTGACCTTGTCGCGGCCCGTGTGCCAATCAGAGTGAAGATCAAAATGCTGCACCAGAGCCCTGAGATGCAGCCTTCCTTCAGGTCTAGTCGATATGTCAAAAACAACAACTGCATAAGGGAGCACATCACAAACACAGACAGATCTTATAAATAAAAGAGTTTGCGGGGGTGTCTCACATCAGCACGGGTGTGACGGCATTCTTGATGTTGCCATAGGCGGCTCGTCCCAGCAGCTCCCTGAAGCAGCGCTCCGTCAGCTCCACCGGGCTTTCCTTCTCCTTCTCCGATGCCTGCAGCGGAGAGGGTGAGCGGCTGGTGGGGAGCGATGCAGGTGAGGAAGCAGAAATAAAAGGAGAGGAGAGCAAAGAGCAGGGAGGCGGAGAGGAGAGGGAGGCAAATTGGGGAGGGTGTAGACAGCGAGAGAGAAAACAGAGACAAGAAGCAAGGGTATGAGATCAGTTTGATTCAATAACATCTTCACAAAGGCCCTATTTCTTGCACTAAAACACTTATGGGCTGTATCAGTGCAGCCTTTATTCCTGAGGTGACTTTACCCTCTGCAGCTTGTCTGCAGTGAAAATTAAGTGACACTTAGCTGTTGTGTGTGCACACATTTGTGCACATCTGTTGTGACCACGGGGGGCATGTCTAAGTCTGTGTGTGAGCGTATGTGGCCACTCACACGGCGTCCAGCTCGAGCCGTTCTTTGTTCTCATGCATAGTTAAAAACATCCACCATAACTCTATCTTGGTCATGGCTAGCCTCGGGTAGTCCACCAATGATGACATTATTTATTAACAGCCTAATCTCTTTCATCCTGTCTGCTGCTGCTGCTGCTGTGGAGGAAATGTGAATTCCTGCCTCTCACGTCCAAAAGCAGCAAAATTGAGAATAATAGCATGAACTGAATATACTGGGTTAACTCAGGACACAAAAACAAGCTTTTTGTTAATTTAATATTTTCTCAGGGCTGCAGAGAACAACTTTTGAGAAGCCGAGGTCTAAACTCCCGTTTTAACGGTCTCAGGTCTAATGATTTGGAAACTCACAATCTTTGCTTTCATCAGTTTACAGAGGCTGGTTTTCAGTCTATTTAAAAAGGGAGAGAGAGAGAGAGAAAAAGAATTGCTTGGGAATAATAAAGCCTTTGCCAGCACCTACATGACACGTAAAACAATCGTGATGGTCCTTGAAGTAGAACACATAACAGTGAGTCCGCAGAAGCTTCCGTTATCTCCAGAAACAAACTTTCTGCAGAAGTCGGACGGCTGAGTAAGGCTGATCTTTAAATGAGTTGGTACATGTGCACAGGGACTAATGCAGAGTAAAAATGCACCATGAGTGAAGTAATTAGACTCCGTGCTGACTGCTGTGGGTAATGACAGGCTAGACTCGGTGAGGAGGAAATGAGGAAGCACAGCAGGGGCAGGCCTCCAGACGCACACACACAGCAGAGGGAAGCGGAGATGGAAATGTGTCTCTCTCTTTCAATAACTTTCTCATTTCTATCACTCTAATTTCTATTATCTATCCAACAGCCAATCTCCCCGTGTTCTTATTGCTGCCCTCCCCATTTGCTCCCACAACCTTCAGATGTCGGCAGTGACGTCAAAGTGAATTTCAGCATGTGGAACGCTGCCAGGAGAGGGATGCTGCAGACTCGCTCACACGCTGGCATCCTTTAGCTCTCCGTGTTTGTAAGCTCTTATTCTCCACCCATTGCGCTATTTCTGTTCATGTTTCCCTCTTTCATGCTCTTCACTTTTCTCCTTGATTTTTTTTTCCTCCCTGTGTTCTGGTCTCTTTGTTCTTGGATGCTGCTGGTGGGCTGACAGACGCCCATAAGGGGACCAGAGCTGTCAGTGGGTTCACTCAGTGATGACAATGATGATGAATGACAAAGGTGATGGCTGGCTGGACCGCCAGGACAAATATGGCCAAGCGTTCGACACACAGCAGCAGTTGGCTGTGGCGTCGGGGCCCTGGACTGTGCAACTGAGGCATGGCGGGTCAACACCGGCCAGTTTCGGGTCATTAACTGTCTCCACACATTTTAGATGGCACTATTTGAGCTGATTTGTGGCCATTATAAACACATAAAATGATCACGTCACATCAGAGACAAAGTAATACATATATGAGTGGTTTGGGAACAGAAACTTCCAGGTTTTATGGGGTGTGAAGTATAATGGTAAATCTAACTTCTGACAGGAGTTGGCTACAATGCAAGTTGACAAGATGCAGTGCTTGTGGAAAGATTGTCCTTGGACAGACTAAACTACACCATAGCTGCCTGTTAGAGCACATCAGCTTTAAGTTCACAAAAAAAAAAAAATGAAGAAACGAACACCATCCGACTATGAAATATGGGTAATTTGTGCTGCCTCTGGCAAAGGGAATCCATGAATCTTTAAAGATGAAATAAGTCTCAAGACATGGCTCCTCTAACAGAAAAATGATCCAAAACATACAGCATCCAAAAATGGATGAGAATAGAAACTTAGATAATTCAGAAGTGGCTTAATGTCCATGGAAGTGCTGCAGCTCACAGCTGGGGGGAGGAACTGAGTTTGTTGAAGGCCAAAAAGTCTCATTAAGAGCCCCAAGAAGCACATGGTTTCAGCACCATTTTAGGGTGTGCTGCAAAACTTGAGGTCCAAATGGCATTTCACGTCCATGCCTTTCTGTTTTGTTAATTATAGAAAGTAATACTTCACAAAAAAAATGAACAGCAACATGTATGTTCTACTAAATGTGTAATGCAGCCTCATCTACAAACAGCAACAGCACTCACCTCTCCGTACGTTCTCCACTCTGCAGGTTGAAAAGCAAAGAGGGGACGATCTTGTCCATGTGCTGAGGGTCCCAGATATTAGCCTGCAGCTCATCATTCACAGTCTTCCTCACCACACCCTGCAGACCTTTGATACCTGCCATGCGAATCCTGAAGGCAACAATCACACACAGACACCAGGAATCATCTGACTGATACTTCACACTATAAATACTCAACTATATTTAGCAAATCACATTTTTATCCAGCTCTTTGATTGCCTACCCCTCTGCGTTTTTATGCAACCAAAATATATTTCACTTGTCAAAAGGTGTCTATTTTTAAGAATTATTACTGAAGATGACAAGATCTCTTTGAAAAGGATTTTTAAAAGAAATATCTAGACGCAGCGGTAGTCTAAAAACAAACCACCTCCTACGTGGTCTAAAAACAGCAGTTGCTTAATGATTCTGTCTCCGGTGCAATCAAGCATCTGTCCACTCACTTAGTGCGGATGTCGGGGTCCTCGTAGCTTGAATGGCACATCTCACTGAAGCGTGACACAAAAAAGTCGTAGCTGCGGTGGTACGATGGCGTATCCTCTTCTATGTTGGCAAACTTTACAAACTGGTGATGGAAGAAGAGGGACAGGAAGAGCAATAAGTCTCCATCGCACATCCTTGAGTTTATTTTGATTCGATTAAACACACTGTAGGGAAATATCTCTAAGTCTTAATGGTGAATATCTGCTAAACCGACGTCAAACCGTAGCTTCATAACATCTCATTAGAAGTGAAAAACACAGGGCAGAGGGTTGGGGGGGGTATCTCCCGCTGGGTCAGAAAATGTCACCATACAAACAGGCTGACATTCAGCTTCACACCACTCTCCAATTAATAAATTATAAACTGGGTTTCTTAGAAAGAGGTCGGATCATTATACTCCCTAAGGCAAAGATTACACCGTAAGTAGTCAGAGATGCAGATGGTAATTGCAGTAAATAAATTCCCATTAGAAAATATAGTCAGGATTAGCTGCAATACAAAAACAGGAGCTTATACAACAAAAATGAACATCTAAAGAAGTCCTTGGCGAATCTTTTCTCCCCGTATAAAACGAGTGCTTGGAGTGGCTTTGAAATTAAATGAAGTATCCTTGAGCAAATTAAATGAAGTGGGCCTGTAATTGTTCCTGTGAAGCTGCTCGGTTACAGCAGCAATTTACTGCTGCAGTTGATACCTGGAAGCTGCCCAGTATGACCGGCAGCAACGCTGGGCGGCTTCCACGTATTAACGTCTCGGCTCTGCGTTTGCTGAAATAGACTGCATCTGACGGAAAGCTTTCAAAATGCTGTCTGAAACCACGGGCGATACAGAACAGAGAATACGAAGGATCTTGTTGCAACCGCGAGCAACAGCAGGAGGAACGAATTCCTGCCTCGAGTCTTCTCCGTCACAGAACAATCCATGAAAGCAACAGCAGGCTGACAGAAATATTAATTCGGGCACTGAGAGAGAGTGCGAGGTTTTAGGTCAGTGAAACAGAGTGCAAGAAAATCGGATAAGGTTTGAGTATGCCATGATAAACTCTCTAATCCCCTCTCTTCACCTCCCTCTGACTCGGGTCTTCTTTTGATGAGCCGTACTGTGTAGACTAAGAAGACACTGTTTGGTTGTTGCCATGCGAATGCACAGCTATTTGAATGTGTAGTTCTGAAGCTCTGCGTTTTGTCTGCTCTGAATATACTAGAGGTCAGTGTAATGCAGTACACGGTTTGTGCACAGGGTGTCACTTTTGTGCTGTGGCTCATACAGGACACAGGTAAGATCTGAAAATCAGTGCTGCTAAACGGAAGCAGCAACCAGCTTTTGACCATTAACCAATACAGAGGAATGAGAGGGATCTTATAGACTGCTGTAATGGAGTCCTGGATGAGCAGTTGAAGATCTTTGTGCTGCGAATAATAAATATGTCTTGTAAAGCCACAAGAAGAAATATTTGGACTGCACTCGTTTTACTAGACGTGCAGCCTGCTGCGTTACGGATGCATAATTTACTAGCCTGTCAGTGCCCCTCTGTGGCTTTAGCTTTAAACTGAGCCTATGCATTATATAGACTGAACACTTGCTGCAAAACACAGGCACTCTGAATGCAAAGACTTAAACCCATGCATACGGTCAAATTCCTCTGCTACTGGCTTTGCGTGTGCGAGAGTTCATCGCCGTGCGGCCTTGCATTCATCTTAAAATCCACACTCCTACGTGTGTTGCACGGGAGATTGATAGCAGGAAGCTTATGAGTGAGCATGTCTTGTCAGTCTGTATAGATGACTGCAGAGCTCTGCCCATGTAGTCTGCAGCTAATCTGATTTCCTTTATGCGTCCTCTGCTGACCTGGCCCACGGCTGCTGATAGCTGCTTTCCACATCGGGGGGGATACTCATCACTCTCTGCCCACCACTCTCACGCTGGGCTCTGATCCTTCCCAAATTCTAACAGTATTCCTCTCAAGGTTAACATCTTTTACTTTGTGCCATCACATCAGGAAAGTAAATGCGCCCTGTCAACTTTTGATTAGATAATACCTCTAAATCCACTCATGTGGGTAGAATTTGATGCAGCGGGAAAGCTTAGAAACTAAGACACATTAGGGACCGACGGTTTCAGCGTGTGGACATTTATCTAAATTTATGTCAGTAAAACAAGCTGCTGTAGCTTTTTTTTATGACTCTTGCGACTGAAATCAAAGGCCACGTTACAGCGAGGCAAGTTCCTGTGCTTATTAAACTGTTTTTATAGCACAAAATTGTCTGTGTTCAAACTGCAGCTGTACGGTACATCCTTCAAAATAACAATGTACTACAGACATCAAGCTAAACAAAGGTGAAAGGTGCGTTTGTTCTCTCCCTGAATGCAAACACTAACCTCCAACAACTACTTGATTAGATTTTTTTTCATTACATTTACAACCCTTTTTATTGCAGCAACTTATTGCAGGAGTGTAATTTTGGTGTAGATTCACACAGCACTATCAAAGAAAGTCACGACATTTTATTTGCAATTTAAAATAACTAATTCTTCTACAAAGATATATCTAGAAAATGCTCATCACAGAAGAGGAGTACTGGTTTTATGGTATCTGAGTGCATCCAGGGCTGTTTTAGTTTGTTAATCTGCAAAACATAAAATTCTTCAAAGTAGTAAAATGATCCTGAAAACTCACCGAGTTGGTTCCGAGGATCTGCAGGCTGGGTTTGTCCGACTCCAGCAGCTTCCGTACCATCTTTAGAAAGCTCTCCACAAACAGGTTGATGCTCTGGCAGTGACAGGCCATTAGCAGCTGGTCCAGGGCTTCCATGGCTATGCACACGTACCTGAATTGGAAAAGAGAGACAGAGGGACACCATTAACCTCGAAGCAAATATAATCTGTGTCTGGAACAAATCAAAATGTGATAAGCTCTGCCAGACAAACTCTGGAGACTGACATATTGAACATATTTCAGGGAGACTCTGCCAAGAGTAAATGTAATCTGTGCAGGCTGTTTGCATTGGTGAGAATCATCACACAGCATCCTTGTCATAAATCATGAAAAACAACAACTTTTATTGTGTATAAAGTACAGACTGCACGGACGCAAGATGACCAAAAAAATAAAGAAAAACAGACTAACATGCCTCCTCATGCAAATTAAAATGAATTTTCAACATGAAGAAGGATCAAGAACACACAAATACGACACAAAGGGACTCCTAAATGCACAATCTAAAGCTCTTCGATGAGCTCTGATCCTGTGCAAAGATCCGTGAAAATCTCTGCGATGAAAGGCACCACTATTACTTCATAGAAAGGCCACATATACCCGGCAGATTTTCAATGTTGAAACGTTAATTGTGCTGAATTTAAATCAGTTAATGCGTGACAAAGCATAAATAACCAAAATGTGCAACGGTATTTGTCGGAGGAAGAGAAAGCTGAGAAGTTTAGGAGCCTGTTCTGAATGGCAGAGCTCACCCATATCTGTGTCGGGCCACATCCCTCGACAGCCTCTCCGACAGGTAGGCTCCGATACGGTCCAGCTTCTCCGGAGCTGACAAAGCGTAGAATGTCAGCTTCTCCATGTTGGCTTTGACCAGCCCATCCTAACAGGGTGATGGAGGGAGACGCATAAAGAGAGAAGGGAACAGAGAAAAATGGAAACTTTAGAGCCTCATTCACATTTATGTTTTAGGACAGCAGGAGCAGTTCTCCCAGAATAGACATTTCAGATCATGATACACGTGAGGCAGGTGTGTCCACTGACTGGTTGTGTTTGCTTCAACTGAGAAAACGATGCTGAGGGAGAACAATTCGTTTGCTCTCTTACAAACAATTCATGGGCTAAGTTGTACCCTAAAGTGTGCACTTCTTCTCAACCTCAAAACACAAGCATATAACTAGATCATCAAGTTTCCCCTCCTACTTTCCCCCTTGACCTACTTCACTAGTCTTTAGTTTGTTCAGGGGGAGGAGAGGGCTAAAAACATCCACAGTCCACTGGGATCCCCTTTACATTCAGACAAGAACTGAAACAAGCAGCCAATAAAGCAGTACTCCCAAAAAATTAAAAGTGTAATTACACACTGTATAAATACACACTTAACTTTTTTAAGGTTTGGAAAGAAAAGACTGCAATGCTGAGACAGAAACATGAGGGACGGTAGAATCGGTTTGTTTGTTATACCTGCACATAGTTATGCAAAGCAAAGTGTGATGCGCAAGCAAAATATAATTCATCATTTGCAAAACACCTGGCATACAAAAAACACCCTACCGAGTTTATTCAACTTGAAATATGTTGGAGGGAAACAGCTCGATAAGCTGGGAACATGTATACCCTCACTAAAGAACATTTTCACAGCGAGCATTTCGACTTGTCGTCATAGCAAAACATTACAGGTGTTGTTAATAATATTAATAAGGGAAGTGCCTCAGTAACAAATGGCAGTGACAGTGAACCAGCATGCACGATACCAGGACCATAAAACTGGAAGAAACATCAGTTTTAGAAACCTGTGCTTTTCCAATTGTGACAATTAAAAATGTCATGAAAAACACAGCATTAGCAACACGTGCTAATGTGACGTACCCTGTTGTAAATAGTTGTAAACGTCTGATAATTGATCAGATTTATACAGCGCTTTTCTAGACACTCAAAGACGCTTCATACCGTCAGTTATTCATTCACACACATCCATCCTGGTGGTGGTAGTTAGGGTTGTAGCCACAGCTGCCCTGGGGCAGACTGACAGAGGCCTGGCTGCCATTCTGCCCTCCGACCACCACCTCAAACAATCCATTCATTCACACCAGGCAAGACCCAGGTTACAGGGCAGAATCGAACCACCGACCTTCCGATCATTGACCTACTCGCTCTTCCAGCTGAGCCACAGCCACCCAAATGTTTGATAATGACCTGTACCTATAATTACTCAATGATTTTTATTGTGGGTTGATATCTTTTAGTCTACAGAGCCAACCGGCTGTTCATAGAAGATGTTTTGAAATGTTAAAATGCTGAACTTCAAGCAGTTTCTGGGCATTTTTGCTCACATTTCAAGTCACTGTGGGACTATTTTAACGGCAATATGAAGTCCTGCACCCCTCCTGAAACAGCGCAATCATAGCGAGGACTCAAAAACCTCTTTAGGTGTTGCTACATCAAGGCTCAAGAGATTTTTCACCATGATGAATGTCCTTGTATCCTGTTCTGGAGCCACGCTGTATTTATTTTATTGATTAGATTTGTTTTATTTTCCTCTCAGTCTCTCTGATTTGTTTCCATACTTGTCACCTAATTGCTCTGTGTAAACACAGCCTACAGTCGGTCACAGCGCAGTCAATCGTAGCTTCCGGTTGTGCCGAGGATTTTTATTTTTCCTACAGTATCTGGTTAGTGCAGATGGATGCAGATTTTTGGCAAATTCTTAAATAGGACATATAGAATACGGTGGTTTTAATAAAATATTAAAATGTTTAGGCTGAGATTTGAACGTCGTGAATGATCACAGACAGTCAGAAAGTTGATGTTCTGATGACTTTTTCCTGTTTTTACAGTTTCTACTTATGATAAATGGGGTAGTTTTTTGCAATTTTTAAAAGATTAACATGACTTTAAAAAAACACTGGCAGGTTTAGGGGTTCAGAAGGATAACGATGGCCGCATTCATTTAAGACTTTCCCTTTCCTAAGCGCTGCTGTTGTGCATTCCAGCTGACTGGCACATGTAAATGAAATGGAAGCCTCGTTAGTCATGATCATGAGTTGCACCTGGGCTTTTCCTGCTAGGACAAATCAAACATGTCTGAAAAAGGTCTATTTGTCTGATCAGAGGGATATTTAACAGAACAGCACAGGACTACAGCTCTGCTTCTCTGAAACAACCTGTGGCCAGAATCTAAAATCAATCACACAGCCAGAACACTGCAGCTCAGGCAAGTCTTCTAAACTAGTAATACGCTAAATCGTACTATAGACATTCTGTACAGGCAGAAATCATGCAAGACACAGAGAATACAACCTACAATTCACCATTATACCAACAAAACACTGAAATACTTTAAATGTGCGTCCACATGCTCGCAGAGTGTGACGCAATCTGATCAACGTTGTACGACGGTCTCATTATGCCCATCCTACCGTTAGTTACAGACTCACTGCAGCCAAACTTGGAAGCCTTTTTGGGAACACAATGTGCAGGTGCACACGCCCGCGTACACACAAAACAGGGACACGAAGCGTGAACGTATTAGCATTCCCCTGTATTGCAGTTTGGCCACAGATCTGAAAGGTAAAGTGGGTTACTGCGGTAGAACAGAGGCACTAATGACAAGTTTCCTCTGCAACAAACCGGCGCCTTCGTTTTTACCCAAACTACTGCTCTTTGTGAGTCATCTGTATCAGATCTCAGCTAATCATGAAAATAGCAGCAAAGATGCTTCAGCACCAACAGCTACGTAAAACACGGTTAGGTATGAAGGCCTTTGCAAACCACCTCCACCTCACTGTTTCGAAATCCAAGAAATTATCATACCTATGTTTATATTCACTTGCCAAAGGAATAAGAAATGAAAGCTACATCTGGCGCAGCAGTTTTCAACCTGACTGTACCTTAAGAAAACACCTGTTTTTTTTTTTCCCAGTTCAGCGAGTGCATTAGTAAGCTCCACATAATTTCCATACGCAATCATGCAGCAGACAGACGAATAATATATTCCAGCAGGAAAGACAGAAAGCCGGAGCATTTATAAAGAAACAGACAGTGTAAGCTGAGCGTCTCACCTCGGGATCTTCTGGGAAAATGTTGTCCACCAGTCTCTTGTACCGAGGCCTGAGTGCCCCGCAACAACCACAAACCCCTGAGGAAGGAGAGAGATGGAGGAAAAAACAAACAGAGAAATGGTCAATTAGACTTATACAGCATGACTGACAGAAATGCAATGAAACCAAGTCGCGTCTTCTTTCCTCATCTACTTTCCGTGGCAGCACTATTTGTCTGTGCTGTGTCACTCTGTGCAAATGAAATGCAACTGTGCCAAAGTAATGAGGCAGCTCTCAAATCAGTCATTTGTTCCCCAGATAAGTTTAGACATCATGTAAAATTGTTGGCTGGGTTAAAATCACCATGTAGTTAGTAGTCTTGTATAGCCAAACCGATCTCCACAGCGCTATGTCAGAGTCGTCCATTAGCAATCTGCTGTATTGAAAAAATAAATAAATAAAAACTCTCCGGCTTGTTCGTATTTCTTTAAACCATTAGCCTTGGGCAGTGCTAAGCCCTGGAGGCAACGAGGATGGGGAACTGGTTTTGGTGGAGCATTTGTACTTAGAGCTTGCAGGCGTCTTCATTAAAATGGCAAAAGAAATAATGTTGTTTTCAGTAGCAGAGGAGATTTCAAACATGGCAACACGGAGATAGCAGCAGGGCGAGACAAGACCGTGTGAAACATGAACCTGTGACATGCTTAAAGCCACAGTCCGCATACAGTGAGCCAGACTATATAGTGAGTAGGAGTTGTGCTGCTGATTCATCCGCTTCAGCTGCTAATGACTCAACATTAATCGCATACAATATCAACCCTGAGAAAAACTGGAAAAAAGGCAATAGAAGGTAAAATTCCACTATTTCTAACACTCACTGCAATGACGCTCAAATCGACCTGCCATGAAAGAAAACACATAAAATAAATAATAATGCCTTGTCACAGTTATTGCTAAAGCCTTCCTTAAGTGGGAAACTTAAATATGTATATTATTAATTTCATCATGTAGGTACAGCTGTGTCTCACCCATGACAAGTGAAAATTATGTGTTGAGAAAAACTTCACAGCAGCTTCCGAGGATATCCCCTGCATAAAAACACCCTGGATATGTAACAGCAAGACAGAGCTCTACCCCTCAGTAAGTCAAAGACGCAGCAATTTCAATGCCGGCCCGATACAATCATTCAAACGTCACATCCCGAGGTTAAAACCGTGAACGCGCGTTAATGTTGATGGAGCTTGATTGGTACCGTCACAGTCTGTTCCCGCGCTGTCGCACAACACCAGCTTTTATTGTGCCCCACAAACACATGCTAAGTCAAGGTGATTCTCAGCAAAGACAATTGAGAAAAGCAAGATATGGAAAGAATGCAGTCACAAGACAATCACAGTCATAACAATGCAAATCAGATACACAGACAAATGCACACACACACACACACACACACACACACACACACACACACACACACACACACACACACACACTTGATCTGTTTCTCTCAGTCAAGACAGCCTTGAAGAGGAGGGATGGTGCAACACACAGTACGAACGGCGAATTTTCTGACTTTGCATTTAGGAGAAAGCAGCCAGCTAGGCATCCAGAGAGAGCTGGATTCTGATTGGCTGAAGGAATTCAGCAGTGGTGAGTCATAAGAAGACCCTGGGAGAACGAAGATATGAATAAAGGGACAATCTCCAAAAAACCCAAAACGAATCTCTGAACCCTTCGTGCAGCTCCCCACAACAATTATTACCTCGCTGCCTTCATCACGCACTCGCCGTGTGACTTTTGGAGTCACAGAAGCCAACAGAGAAAAGTAGGTCACTGCACTGTCAGCAGTGCAGCCAAGTAATGAATGGCACGGCGGTCTGACAGTTCAAACAGAGGCGCCAGAAATTTAGAGTATTTTAAACAAAAACAACGCAATCTGCAAAGAAACAGCTTTTTATCCATCTTTCCTTCCTTCCTGCCTCCCATCGTCAGTTTCCTTCCTCTTATTCTCCCCCTCAAACGTTTCATTATTCATTATTCTAGTTGCCGCTACAGAGACTGAAGCCTTTTTTCACCCCACAATGACCAGACATCAACAAGATTACCGGTTGCCCAATACAGTATAACTATATCCAACACACAGTAGATTCTCCCTTGACTCAACGCCCACACACTATATTACATGTATATATATATTTTTTTATTTTTAATGCACCACCAGCGCAGTCAGCGACAAGTCTTGTGGCTCACGTTCAACTCTGCTTTCACTATGAGGCACGCAGACTCCTGCAGAGACAAGCCTGCAAAAAGCAGCTGTCAACTGGTGCCACTCATCCCAAACGTCACTAAATTTATATCAATATAAAATGAACACGTTTCACGCAGACCGTGGAGACAAACATCTGCCACATCTCACTCAGCGATGCACACAGACGCGCCGATCTCGTCTCCCTTCTAAAGACAACATCAAAGTTTTCTGTAAAAGCTGCTTATTTCCGAGTGATGCAACGAGAACATGAAATATAAGCGTGGTCTGCTTGAAATGCTAAGCAAGGATAAGGACGAATCAGAAGCACACACAATATAAGCCCAACCAGCACAAAGAACCAGCACACAATATTTAATTAGGACCGGAACGAATGATCATTTTTATGATCAGTTGATTCAGTGACGATTAGATTAGACAGATAATCACAATTTCTCCCACACCAACGTGATGTCTTTCTGTTTTGTCCAACAAACGGTTCACAGTCAAAACCAGATCTTGAACAATTATTTGAATAATGGATTTGTATTAAACTAGGTGTCAACTATTCTGATAATCAATTCACTGGTTTGACTGATCGTTCCCAACAAAATAATCCCTAAACCCATCCTCTCAAATGTGCAGGTTTTCTGGTTTCTTTGCTCTTTTATGACAGGAAGCTAAAAGAAAAATAAAAAGTAAAATTTGTCACCATTCACTATGTATATACCAAACAACGAATAGATTGAGAAAATAAATCACAGATTAATCAGCTATTCAAATAGGCTGCAACCCTTTTCAGAGCTAAAAAGAAAAACTCAGTTTGCTATCACATTACACGAGCGTATTTGCTGAGCTGAAACTGACATATTGACTTATCAGCTTACAAACTCCTGAATTACGCAGCCCGAATGTCGTCGGTGAAAGTCCATCCATGCCGACAGTTTGTGTGAATGTGACAGCAGGTCTATCGAGGGAGCAGAACTTGCACTGATAAAGATTAAATGAAGAATTGCATGCAGCACATTTAGTGTTTTGCTAGCTTTTTTCCCAAAGTGCAACGAGGTACAAATTGACAAACTGCATGTCGAAGACTGATATTAAAACGGCAGCGGTGAGACTTTTGAGGACTGCGTGGCCGTCCTCTGGAACAAAGCAACACATGCTCAGGTTCCGCAGCCTTCTGGTATGTTATCAGTGACCTACACCTGGGAGGAGGGCAGCGAGCACCGCGGGATGTCCTTGAAAAGCAGTTAACAGAGTGAAAACCATCTTTGCCATCTTAACCACTTAAATTAGCCTCTTTTTAAGGCTGCCTGCTCTCCAAAAGTTCAGCTAAACTCCCCAGCAGGAGTTAGGTTTGTGCTTATCTCTGAAAGCTGTGTCTATTCATAGCGCTTCTGCTCTTTCCTCCATCACTTCAAACACTAATGAGGCTCCTGCACCCCTCCCTCCCTTCTTCCTGCTCCCACCCAACCCTCCTCTACCTCCTGCCTCCCGTCCATGCTGTATTGGCCCAGGGCCTGAGAGTAGGATTCGCCAGTGAAATAATGAAAATGCAGCAGGTCCCCAGTGTGAGGAGGAAAAGGTGGAGGACAAAGAACGAGTGACAGAGACACAGATGGGGAGAGAGAGAACGATATAGACAGAGGATGGAAGTGTGATGGGGGAGGTGGATTGAGATGAGTCACAGATTAGCGCTACTTATTGCATCTTCGCTGTCCAGCTCAAATCTGTCCTGTCCTCTCCGTCGGCTGCAGAGGAAGGAGGTTTTTGGATGGAGTAGACATGCAGGGAAAGTTAATTTCGGGAGAAAACTTTTTTAACAAGTAAGTGGGCGTCGCAATTTAATTGATGTTTCGTTCTCCTGTGGTGCTCTGCAAGCTGCGCAACTGCTTTTGGTTATAATGAGGAAGTTATTATTATCGGTAATGATCTGGGGTTTTTTTAAACAAATTTTCAATGCGACCAGGTTTGTAAGTCAATTGTACGACATCACTGAACAGTTGAACACCAACTCAAGGAACTTTATAAACACAGTCATGAATGTGGAAGGGTAAGACAGGCCACTGTAACTCCTAATACAGCTGCCACCTCTTAGATGAGTCCATCCATTATCTCTACACCTTAATCCTCACTAGGGTCATGGGGGGCTGGAGTCTATCCCAGCTGACTCAGGGTGAAGGCAGGTTCACCTGGACAGGTAACCAGTCTATCACAGGGCTACACTTAGAGACAGACAACCAAGGCTTGGCTTAGAGTCACCAATTAACCTCAAGATGTTTCTGGACTGTGTGGGAGGAAGCCGGAGAACCCGGAGAGAACCCACGCTGCACGGGGAGAACATGGAGACTCCACGCAGAAAGATCCCGGGTGTCCTCACCGGGACACGAACCAGCGACCTTCTAGCTGCAAGACGACGGTGCTAACCACCGCTCCACCTTGCAGACCACCTCTTACAACATTCACGTATCCTCCTTTCAGCGTGCCTCCAACTTAAAAATACGCTGCAACACCATCTCACAGCTGGAAATGACTCACTGGCACTGAAAATCTTGCGTAGTGTCTAAGTTGTGTGCGGTTTGTGTAAAAAAAATAAATAAATAAGGAGAGTTTTTTTCAGTTCTTGTAATGACGGGCTGGTGTGGAAAAAGCTAAGGGAGAGAGCAACAAGGTGGGTGGACATGGATTTGGATGACAGCGGTGAAAAGCACACATAGCAGGGGGCCTCACGACATCCACCCACTCTGCATGGCAAGCTGACAACACATTTAGGGGCTGGACACCGAGCTCCTCCACACCTCCATGCAGACACAAACGTGGTCGCACACACACTCCGAGCAGCATGAAACAGAC